CGCATTGAGTCGACCACTCGTTCCCCTATTTATAGTCATTTCAGTGAAACAGTTAGCGGTTCCACAAGTATTAGAGCGTATGGAGTGTCCGATCAGTTCATACAGGAGTCCAATAGACGGGTCGATGCAAACCATATGTGTTATTATCCAAGCGTTACAGCGAGACGATGGCTTACAATCAGACTGGAATTATTAAGCAATTGTATTGTATTCTTGTCGGTAATATTTGCTGTGTTTAATCGATACAAACTAAGTCCAGGTATTGCGGGTCTGGCTATTAGTTATTCACTTAATATAACAAGTGTTTTGATATGGTTTGTCAAATCGGCGTCAGATCTCGAGATTAATATAGTTTCTGTTGAGAGATGTCTTGAATACACAAAAACTCCAATTGAAGTATTATTTTAAACCCAAACATTGAAAACTTTATTAATTTTTAAATTGATTTCTAGTCTGAATCGTATAATGAAGTGATTAAACCATCGCTTGATTGGCCGGAAAGGGGAGAAATAAAGTTCATTGAATACAGCACTAGATATAGAGAAGGATTGGATTTAGTGCTCAAAACGATTACATTAGAAGTTCGGCCCAAAGAGAAGGTGGGAATAGTCGGCAGAACGGGTGCCGGAAAGTCATCGCTAACTCTGGCGCTGTTCCGACTCATAGAACCGGTCGACGGATCCATATTTATAGAAAGATTACATTAGAAGTTCGGCCCAAAGAGAAGGTGGGAATAGTCGGCAGAACGGGTGCCGGAAAGTCATCGCTAACTCTGGCGCTGTTCCGACTCATAGAACCGGTCGACGGATCCATATTTATAGACTCAGTGGACATCAGAAAACTGGGTTTATATGACTTGAGATCTCGGATAACAATTATACCTCAAGACCCGGCGCTCTTCACCGGAACATTACGTCTCAATTTGGATCCATTCAACCAATACTCGGACACTGATATCTGGAGGGCCTTAGAGTCGGCACATCTCAAGCAATTTGTGGACACTTTGGAGAAGGGATTGAGTCATCAGATCTCTGAAGGCGGAGAAAATCTAAGTGTTGGACAAAAACAGTTGATTTGTTTGGCCAGAGCTCTGTTGAGGAGAACCAAGATTTTGGTGTTGGACGAGGCGACCGCTGGTAACACTTCTCTTGTCATTTGATTCAATAGTAAACTAATATACTATTAATGTGTTTCAGCGGTCGATATGGAAACGGATGACTTAATCCAAGAGACGATTAGAAAAGAGTTTTGTTTGTCAACTATTGTTACGATCGCTCATCGATTGAATACAATCATAGATTACGACAAAGTGTTGGTAATGGATAAGGGAATGGTAGCCGAGTTTGATTCACCCCATCATCTCTTGCAAAACACTAACTCTATCTTCTATTCAATGGC